CTCGATTCTCTTTTGAAAAATGTTAGAAATTTAAAGTTTGCAAGAAAGTGATTTTTGAATTTAAAATTCAAAACAATGTTGTATAGAATATCAAAAAAATATGAAATTATGAATCTGATCGAAAATCTAAAAATCTAAGAATTAAATATTTTTAAAAGAGGCTTTTAATGAAGTAGCACCCACATCCAGTTTATAATTACAATTACATTGCAGACTACGCTTAATAAAATTAAAATGTATGGTATTTTAATTTTTTTTAGCAAAAATCTCATTACCATACAGTACTGTAATTTTACCAGAATTTTTTTCTCTGTGATCTTACAAATGTCTCCATAAATTCCTATCGCAATCTATTTTGAATTAATATTTAAGAGAATGGCTATGGATTTGATAAAAAATAAAAACACAAAGTTTGAAAATTTTGATTCTTGCCACTCCAGCAATCCTCCTTTTAAACTTTTGAAAACAAAATGACTGGAAAAAATAATAAAGTAATTTAACAGTGTTACTAAACGTGTTTCATCATTTTTAGACAGAATTATAATCATAACTAAATTTATAAGAGCTAAACTATTTTCTTTTAATGTTTTATCATATTAAATCAAAACATTTAAATCAATATAAACTTTACAAAAAAAAGTTTGCAATCATTTTTTTAAGTGCTTTTAGAAAAACATTATAAAAATGATTTTTTTAATGCTTTGAAAGTATGCCTTTCTGTTATTAAAAAAAAACAAAACTATATAATATCTTTAATTTTTCGATAAATTCGTACACATTTTTGTTGTTCTTTTTAAGAAGAAGAAAAGTTCGAATGATAATAAATCTAGCGTTATCTTTTATTATAAAATAGAATCCATAACTCTTATTTTTAAAAATTGCGAATTTATATTTCTTGCAGACATTATTAATATGCCATTAAAAATGTTTTCTTTTTGGGGATCGATTTGTAATGATGAAGAAAAAAAACAACAGCTGTAAGTGATTTGTTAAAAAGGGGTAGAAAAAAACAAGGGTTTAGCTCTAGCGCTGAAATGTTATACTATACAGTAATTATATTATACTCTTACACTACACCCTTATTTTCTTACATTTCGTTAAGGTACCCGTTTCTTCTTAATCCTATCAAAACCCGGCCAAACAAGTGGTCTATGTTGGAAAAATACTGGTGTGAAAAGACACAATACATATTTGCTTATAGCAAGAGTATATTTTTTCTGTTATCTGCAATTTTAGTTAGTGTGCATTGACTACAGATCTAAGTATAAATATTTATACTTTTAATATTTTATGGTACACGAAACCTATTAAAAAAAAACAATAATCCTAGTAATGTATCTTTGAGCCTTGGTGGCTCAGGGGATAGAGCGTTCGTCTCCCAATGATGTCACCCAGGTTCAAATCCAAGAGGTGGCAGGTTCATACGAATTCTGGTCCCGGCTCGCACTGATTTCAGTGTTGTCGTAAAAATATCCGCAGAGGTAGATGAATAATAGCTTAGAATAGTTCGTGGTAACCATTTGAGGTTTTCGTGGTTTTCCTCTCCCTGAAACGCAATGAGGGTTAGTTCCAACAAAAATTCTTCCGCGGAAACTAGCTTGTCCCAATGCTCAGGTTAGGAGTTTACTTGTCTTCTGTTTTGGGATCAGAATTACAAGGCTACTGAGTAGAAAACTGATAGTTGTAAACTCAAGATTAGGTCAGCTGTTCACCACTCGTTATAAACAAAATAGAAAAAAAATAGTGTATCCCTTCTGTTGCCACTTTTTTTAATATTTCATTGATTTTTTTAATGAAAAAGAAAACTTTTTTTCAAAGGTGATCGGCTACAAATGGGTTCCTATATAAATTGGTGCTTTATATTTGCTACCAAGAAAAAAAAATAAAATAGAGGACTAATTAAAATAAAATACTTAAAATAGAGGGCTAATACTAAAAATAGAGAACTAATTAAAATATATTTTTACTTAACAGTATATCGAAAATATAGTTGTTTTAATCCTGAGACAAATATTTCTAAGAAACTTCAAAGTTTGTTGAATATATTTAGTTCAATCAATTAGTGCGTTTTAGTTAGATTCTCATTGTCAAATAAATTTACTATCAATTTATGTAATTGAAGAAAAATATTGGTTTATTTAATCTAATCATATTCGCTAATAAAGGGCTTTTAATATGTGAACTTGTTTTTAAGGAAATTTTAATTTGTATAGTTTTTAACGATTTGGAACATATTTTGATGGAAAGTTTTTTTAATTTTATTTTCAAAATAAATAACTCATAAACTTTTGTTTGAAGAGAAAGAAGGCTATATTTCTCTCCCACTTATTAAGATCAATTTTAGTAAAAGCAGATATTTTTCTCGAGACGCTTCTCAATATTTTAAAGATTAAAAAGTGGGGTTTTAGATGATTGGCTTGCATTGTGGAAGAAAAAAAAGGAACTACTGTTGAGATTTATCAACTTAAAATTAGTCATAAACATTTCAAAATTTATCTTAGACTTTTTTTTAGTATTTTCTTATAGTTATGACAAAACGAATGAAGAGAGAAGTAAATACACCGAGAAGAAAGCATGGTCTAATCCGAAAAAATGTAATAAAATTTACCATATCTCTAAAGAAATACCAACAAGCTCGACAATTTATACAGAAACGCTTTGATAATGATTTTGGTAAAATTAACACTAAAATATCGTTTAATAATAAGTCAAAAAATTTGGCATATTTTGTAATTTTGGTAATTTTATAAAATTTGTAATTTTATATTAGCATGGCATAAAAACCATTTATTCGGTAAAATTTACTTTCAAATTTTGTATTTTCTGCTAAATGCGTGCTAATAAGAATTATAATTTTGAAAACTAAAATTTTTGCTAAACCGTCACCATATTATCGAAAAAAAAAAAAAAGGAATTATTTATATACCGTATATCATGATTTTTGTTTACCGAAAAGGTCATCACCATACAATACGATCATTTTACCAGAATTTTTTTCTCCAAGTAGAAGGGATTGAATAGCAGTGTAGTGGGAACTAATTTGTCATTCACATAAAACTTTAAGCAATTTTATTTACGTAGTTAATTTAAAAGGAAAAAGACTTAAGAATTTGATTTTGCATAACTTTCTGCGCAAAATTATTGATATAGAGAATTCAATTAATGTTTTTAGTTAAAAAGCATCGAACTGTTTAGTTTGCATGCAAAGATTGAATTATTATAAAATTTTCCGTGCTAAATAAAAAAAAAATTCTAATGTTCTTGTTACATTAAAAAAGAGAAGATCCATATACTTCAGAATTACGAACAAATTGAAGCTCGTTTTGTATGAATCGGCCCTACCTCTTCCTTATCATCCAATCAGAAGCAAATATTTTATTCATTGTGATCTTGATTTTCTCAATTTAAAAAGTCAGAGAGAGGAAAAGGTTAAAAAAAGAGAAAGAAAGTAACACATAACTTATCTAATAGTTGTAAATAAACCTAAATATAAAAATTTATATTTATTTTATGAATTAAATTAACTCAGTAACTAATTTGTTTTTAAATTAGTTTTACCTACGTCTTTCAAAACAAATAGCTAATTTGCCTATATAATTTGTCAAATATAGGTTGCAAAAAATTTGATAAGATCTTCAGGAAACATATTCCTTTTTATTTATTTATTTCAATATATATTTTATACTTAAAACTTTTTATGTACTTAAGAGTTTTTGAATAACATTTTTATTTATATACGAGTTGATTTATTTTGTTTTTAATTTGTTCATATTTTTTTTGTGTTGAAGAGAGTTGTTTAAAAATGAATTCAATGATTTTATGAGACATCCAAAATGATTTTGTAAGAAGAGTTACTGCAAAATGCTATTAATATGTTTTCAATTCTGGAAAGAAACGAAATTGGATAATATATACAGCTTATATTTGCAACTAATTATATTATATACAGATATGCAACACATTTTTGGAAGAGGATCCCAGAAAAAAAACGCTTCTTGCTGCAGCAAAGAATGTAGGTTTATATGAATTAACTTAATTTTTTCTTAATGAAACAAAAGCATTACTTGTTTGTCTTAAAAATTAAGGACAAATTACAGCAAATTATAATTTTTACAAAGTATAGCATGATTGAATCAAAATTGTTAGACAGTTTTACTTAAAAGAATTAAAGCAGGTTTTTAATTTTTCTTGCGAAAAATTAATTAAAAAAATAAGAACATTTTTCTATACACAAATTACATGCAAATACCTCTTTAATCGCACATAAATAATTTTTTTGTATCGAAATTTGTTTTGAATATATTTCGATAAAAGAAACTTTTTGTTAAAAAAATATATAAATGTCAAAGGCTTTAAATTTTCTGACAGATGGAGTGAGTTTGAGAAAGTTAAAAAATTTCTTATGCTAGTTACGTAAGTTTTTTAATTGATTATTTTCTTCAAAGTGAGATGGCACATTTTAACCTTATGAAAGCCGTTAGTTGATTTCCCCAAAGGTAATTTAATATAAGTTCTATTTCTTTCCGTCAAAGTTTAAAAACTTGCTCGAAATAAAATTAAAATAAAAAGACCAATGTGAAAAAAAAAATTTTTAAAAAAACTTTGTTGTTTGGATTAGTGCGAACACTTTTTAGTAGTACAGCAAAAAAAATTTCAACAAACTGAAAATCATATAAACTGAAATTTAAGATTAAATTGTGTAATCTTGAATAATAAAAGACAATCAATGAAATAATTAATCACATAGGATAAAAAGAATTATGGGAATACGATACGTTTTTAAAATAAAATCGTAATAGCATTCAAAACTGTTTTGTCCAGAACATCCAAATTAACAGAAAAGAAATAGAACTTGAAATTTAAGAATTTAAATTGTTGAATTTTTAAAAACCTAAATTTTGTACAACATAGATAAATTTTATTTATTTTCAAGGTGTTTGTTTTTACATTTCCGTTTTTAGCAAAAATCAAATCAAAAATCAAATCAAAATACTACTTACATGTTAGGTTCTAAGTTTAAACAGTTCAGGCAGTGCCAAAAGCTTGTTAAACACAGTATCACATTAAAAAGCCTATACTTGGCAGTTTGTACACAATTGAAAACCATTTTGAATTGTTAAAATATTGGACGGATTCTTGTAATCATTATATGGTTCAAAACAAAACAAGGTTAATTGCTAATTTTAGAAAACCATGTGCTTTTTAACATAGGTTTCCTTTGCACATAAAAATATATAATTTTTGTTCAAAACAAATAAAATTCATTAAAGTATGAGAAAAATCACTTTGAAATTGAAACGTTTTGTGTATTAAATAGAATTTTATAAAACAGGAATAAAACTGCTCGACTTAAATTTAGTTCAAGTATAAACACACATGATTGGATTTAAGTTAACCACCAACTCTTCGGTTGCCAAGCAACGACTAAAGCTTCATCTTCCATCGTAAAAGGTTGCTAGAAGTAAGATCCGCCAAAGGATGCGGAAGAATTCCACTATGCCATTTGAAGGAGAAATTGGCGTCGCCAAATCTGGCTCTACAGTGTTTGTAAACAGATCATTTCCCGCCTTATTTTTTTCTTCTTCTTTGAAGTGACAATTTCGTGTTATTATTCAATTTGAATCCATTAGTTGTTGAGAGTTTTCGAGAGGAAAAGAGAGTTGCATAGTTTTCGAACGATGTCACATAAGTTGATTGCTAAGTCAAACGATTATATCAAACGATCTTTCAAAATATTTAAATGATTTTCAGGCGAAAAAAACATTATAACTTTTTAAAACCAACATAGTTTGAACAGGGTTAAAAATGTTTTTTTTTCCTTTTCTCAGTGACATCTTCATTTTATTATTCAATTTGAATTCATTACTTGTTTAGTACTTGTTATAGTTTGAGTAGTTTACTTGGTATACTCAAAGGAAATATTATTGCATAGTTGTTTTAAACATCTCACATAAGTTGATTGCTAAGTTAAACATTAAAAAAAAACGGTTTTAGAAATTAATCGATTTTAAAACTCTCATTTTTTGTGTGATTTTTACTTTCAAAAAAGTAGCATAGTGATACTTTAAGAGTTTATTTGAAATTAACTTTAGACTAAAAGTTGTAACATAAGGTTTTTCAGGTTTATTTAATTGTATTTAAATCAGGTTTTTCATTAGATTTTTCTGGTTTTTTTTAAACTTTTTAGCAAATTTAAAATAGTAAAGAGTCCATTTTTTGAAAAAAATAAGAAATATTTAGTTTCCCATTGCATTTACTGTTTTCAATACGTGAAAAAAGTTTAGAATACAAAATACCTAAATTATGAATACATATGGTAAACTTAGTTTTTATTTTTTTTATTTGGGAATGATATAGTTTACGTTCAAAATGATCCTTGAAGGTAATATTTTACATGACTAAAAACAAAGACTATTTAAAAAAAGGGAAAATGTTTATCATTATTCATTCTTGCATTTAAATTCAAAACAATGCTATGATATAAGGTTTTCAAAAAACTGACTAAGCGAGGAATTATACTGAGGCAATTAAATTGCAAAATACTGACAGAACTTTTACCAATTTAGCTTTGCATTACTTTGTGTAAAATTATTATTCAGAATTATTTCCTTAATTAAAAAAATAAATTTTTCTTCATGTTTTATCCTATTTAGTCAACAAAGTTTTCAGTTATTTTCCTTCAAATCAGTTTGCCATTTGTTAGATTTTTAATCTGTCATGCTGCAATAAAATGAATTTTTTATTGAGCGAGAATAAATTGCTTTCAAAAGTTTAACTTAAGTTTAACAAATTCGTATAAGATTATTAAATCACAATTAATTAATTGTGGACGGAAAGTGTGAATAAAAAGTTCAACCCAGAAAAGTGGCAATTGTTGCCGTATTGTCTGTATTCGGTATTCAAAGAGGAGATCAAGCACAAAGTAATTTTTTTCGTTTGTCCCTCATTTCTGAAGTATGTGTTAAAAACAACTTCAAATCGCACTTTATTGACTCGTTGGTTTGTTTTATTTTAAACATGTTTCTAATACAGATTTCGTTCTGTATTCAAAGCTCCAGAAGGAACGAAAAATGGCCCCAGTTGTGCATTAATGTTGAAAAACAAAGTTAACAAAACTATTTTACATTTATTAATAAGGTTGTGCTTTCAAATATAAGAAATAAAGAGCTTAATATTTTGTCATGGCAAAGTCAATTTAATGATTATACTATTAGTTATAACCAAATTGTAAGAAAATTTGTTTTGGTCAAATAAATCAATTTAGATTCCCCAAATTTAGTTTTGCCGAGGAAACGCCTAAAAATTTTAAATTAAATTTTGTAAAAATCTGTATACAAATTTTTTGGAAAAATTTGTGAATTTTTTTAAGCATAAAAATTAATTTTTGTGAAGCATCTTGCGATGTGTCGTGATTTTTTGTGTTGGTTGTTTTAGGCTGGTCGGTCATTGGTTTAGGTTTTGGTTGTGTTGGTCATTGTTTAAATAAAATGAAAAGCAGTTTGTAAGGTAAGTTTAAAAGTTTTATTAGCATGCCTTCAGGTTTTTAACGTTATTGAAAATACAAACTAGGATTAAGACGAAAGATCATTGGAAAACTTTTTTTTTAGAATATTTATGAATCCACATTAGTTTTTAAATTTGGTAGTGACGTGTCACAATCATTATATACCTTATAAAAATTAATAGAATATTTACCGTGGATAATTTAGAAGTACAATAAATGAAATACTCCCAATATAAAAAAATAGAAATCTGATCTATAATAGAAAAACAGTGCCATTCGAAATATTTTCTCAGGAATTGAAAATGAATTTACTGGAGTAAATTATGGTCTAAGGCAATTTGTAGAACGGATCACGTTCGACTTGTCGACAAATTGTTGATCGAATGTGTCATTTTGTGGACAACATTATTGCGTTCAGAGTTGACAAGATCATTTAGCCAACAAGTTCATCAATCAAAGAAAACTGATGGATATCGAAGTTTCATTTAATAGATTTTACATTTTTACTGTGTTGTTATTATTATTTCTTTCATTTTTTTTTGTTGATTGATGAGTGTTTTTTGAAACAAACCGTATGAGCCAAAACAATGCGATTCAGAAATTATTTTTGCATTAAATAACTAACTTTCAAATTATATTTTACGAATTTACAAGAGAGAAATTATAACTTTTTAATGACCAATGTATTCTTAATAATAAGTAATTCTTAATAACAAAAATATTTTTGATAGTTTTTGATTTTAAAAATAGTTGCTAAAAAAGTCAGTTCGATTATCGAAATTGTATTTATACTAAGATATAATATCCGAAAAAAAAATAGTTTGATTTTTTTTTTCATTCATATTCAAAAATTTATCAATAATAAGTTATGCACATAATTCAAAGAAATTTCTATGGTAAATTACTGTTTCTTTTAGACTTAAATAACTGTAAATAAGCACAAATTAAAAAAAAATATATTGTTTGGAAGATTTCATCTTTAACGCAGAAAAAGACACCAGTGTTTCATGCTGCAATTCATAACCATAAATTATTAACATGTTTAATCTAATATTTTTTTCTTAGTTTGACTTTAATTAATACAAATAATGAAAAAGGTATGAAAAATATAATTAATAAAAATTCTATGTCAAAGGATTAATTTCTCAGAGACTATATTATAATAAATATTGGGTAAAATGTATCACTACTTTTTTTCTATAGCCTTTGAGCACTTATAAAGATGAACGTTTATAGAAAACTTTAATACTATTTAAAATAGTTATAAAACGAATTTAAATAGTTTCAAAATAAATCTTATAATGTAATATCTTCTTTAAATAGTTTATACTTGACAAAATTTGGTGTACTATTCTAGTAACCAGAAACAGCATCTTGTACTCTAGGTCGCCAAATTTATGCTAAGATCAGTTTCTATATTAAATTTGCTTCATACCAGTGTCTAAAAAGTCTTCACATAAATAGGTCATGTAGAATATAATAAAATATCAGGGGTTTTACTTATTAGTAATGTCAATTACCTTTTATGAACTGACTGAACGTTATCTAAAGAACCCGTGAAATACAATTTATATGACCCTCTGCAGCTTCTGCCTAAAGTCAATTCGTATAGATTTATTCCTTTCGGTTAGTTTTCCATACTCCGTTCAGTTGAACCTTATAAGAATCAGCATACTACTATTGGAATGTATTAGTTTCTGTAAAAAAACTGAAGTTTTAATTAAATAAATTATCCCAAGAAATTAAAGAACCCCAAGTATTTTAATGTTCATCATAGAACGAACAATTTATTTTTTTCGCATACAATATTAAAATATATCCATAAATAGGACTTTTTTAGAATATATTTTAAATGGTGACTTGATTTTTCTGTGCAATTTTTAACTTGCAAGTTTATCAAAAAGAGAAGTGATGCTAGAAAGGATAGTCAGGTTTTCAGGTTGAAAGCTGAGAAACATAGGATTATTTTTGACGACTGACAAAAGATCCAGTATATATACGTAACAAGATGCACGTTTAGTTTGTCAAAGATAGATCCCAAGATATTAACGAACCCCAAGTATTTTAATGTTCGTTATGGAACGAACAATTTATTTTTCATCCATATATCCATAAAATATATCTATAAATAGGACTTTTTTTGAATATATTTTAAATGCTGACTTGATTTTTCGGAGCAATTTTTAACTTGCAAGTTTATCAAAAAAAAGAAGTGATGCTAGAAAGGATAGTCAGGTTTTCAGGTTGAAAGCTGAGAATCATGGGTTTATTTTTGAAGACCGACAAAAGATTCAGTATGTATACGTAACAAGATATACATTTAATTTGTCAAAGATGAAAAAAAAATCCTTTCCATCCCTATGATGTGAAAGTAAGGTTATTAAATGCCAGTTTAAGTGTCGATTGCATCGTCTGATTGAGGTCAAGACTTCGCAACATTTTTGTTAAAAAATGCTTTTGTTAGGTATGATCGTGATGTGTAAAGGAGTAATATCAATTTCTTTAATTACATCATTTTTTTTATATTTAGCAATTACAAGTTTTAAAAATCCAGTTTTACATGCAGTTCCAGTTTAATGCTGTTACAAATCGTATGAACTATCTTGTGACGTTTTTTCTTTGATTTTTATATTTTAAACAATCTTTAACTAATCTTGGTGACTTGAACCATCTGAATTATCAAACCTTCAAACTTTATTTTTCCTGAAAGCTGATTTTGGATATTTCAATCTATTATTTCCATCACCTTTGTCTTTCAAATAATAATGAATAAAAATTTTAGAAGTACCGCCATAACTTATTTTTTTTTTAAATTTAGAGCGTCTGGCAGTGTTACTGTCATTTTCTTGGGTCTGTAATTACACTCTTTTCTTACATGAATGAAATGTTTCAAAAACTTGTATATTAAAAGCAAAAGTAAATGAACAAAT